TTGGCACTGGAGCTGATATCTTCTTATACTTGAATGTGCTTTCTAGCACACTATATTACTTTTTATGAAATTTCCTGGTATAGGTAAGAAATAATTCAGCAGTCCCTTTAGAATTGATGCCCGAAAATCGATCGTCCGCCCCCCCGGCCCCCGCCCCATCCTACCCTCCCTGCTCAGGCTCCGCTTCTGGCCGCAGCACTCGGCGAAGAGGCAGTAGAGGCGCGGGTAGATGTAGCCGGTGAGGACGCCGGCCAGGGCCAGCCCCAGGCTGATGGGCTCCACCGCCCGCACCACCGACGGCGCCAGCAGCAGCAGGCCCAGCGCGACCCGGCCTAGCTTCATGCCCGGACCCGCGCCGCCCCGCGCGTTCTCGCGCCGCCGCGGACCCGCGCCCCCACCGAACCACTTCCGGTTCCGCTTGTCGTGGAGGCCATCTTGGTGCAGGGCAGGCCTTCGCCCGACGCCGGCGACCGCCATCTTTGTTCGGGGCAGAGCCCTTTCTGCTTCTGCGAAGCTACCGTCTGGCACTTTTTTAGGTGGTTTTCTAAAAATTTTTTATTTTTATTTTTATAATAGACCTTATTTTTCAGAACAGTTTTAAATTTACAGAAAAACTGAGCCGGGCGCGGTGGCTTACGCTTGTCATCCCAGCGCCTTGGGAGGCGGAGGCGAGAGGGTTGTCTGAGTCCAGAGCTTCGAGACCAGCCTGGGCAACTTGGCGAGATCTCGTCTCTACAATAAATCAAAAAATTAGCCGGGCGTGTTGGCGCACCTGTGGTTCAAGCTACTCGGTAGGCGGAGGCAGAAGGATCGCCTGAGCCAAGGAGGTCGAGGCTGCGATGAGCTGTGATCATACCACCACACTCCAGGCCTGGGCCACAGAGGGAGACCCCGACTCAAAAAAATGAAAAGACAAAAAAAGGACAGAGTGCCCGTATACCATCTCTTGCACATAGCTTCCCCCAAATTTTTCATGACTATGCTACATTTGTTACAATGAGAGGAAACAGCTGGACTCGGTGGCTCAGCCTGTAATCCCGCGCCTTTGGGAGGCTGAGGTGAGT